CCTGTGGCCTCACGGTTTGGATTGTTCTGTTGGTTGACCTCGTCGGCGGTGGCGCCCCCCCCCCCCAGGTCAACACGATCCAGCTCAAGGAGACGCAGGAGGAGGCGCAGAAGACCCAGGAGCAGGTGTGGAGTATGGGTGTGTGTGGGGTATGGGGTATGGGTGTGTGCACAGCACGGCTGGGGCTCTGCCACATCGCCCGCGCCGATTCCGCCCCCTCCTGCCTCGCCGTCGGCGGCCCGGGCCGCTCCCCTGATATTTCCAGGGCGGGGGCAGACCGAGGCCCTCACAAGCAGGACCACTTGGGACTGCTGCACCTGCGGCCTGGCCCTTCCCCTTCCCGCCGTCAGAGGCCCTTCCTTGCCCACCATTCGTCACAAAATCGTTGCACACCACGCAATCACTTCGCTCGCCGCCTCCGCTCGTCATCACCGCCCACCCTCCCACACATGCGCGTGCACATAAACGCATCCACACGCGCCCCCTCCATCGCGCCCGCGAACCCTCCGCACCCCCAACCCTCATCCCCGCGCCCCCGCCCCAGGTCCTCGTTGACCGCCAGCACGCGATCGACGCGGCCATTGTGCGCATCATGAAGACGCGCAAGCAGCTGGCCCACAAGCTGCTGGTGGCGGAGGTGCTGGGGCAGCTCAAGTTCTCGCTGACGTCGTCGGACCTCAAGCGGCGCATAGAGAACCTCATAGAGAGGTGCGAGCGCCAACATGCGCAAGAGAGAGGCGTTGCGCGCCTGCCGCCGCCGGCCTGCGCGGCGGTGGCGTCCGCCTGCCTCCCCCCTTCCCCTGCTTCGGCCCCACACGGGCGACTCACCGCATCTGCTCCTCCTTGCCGCGTCTCCTTCCGCTGCCCCAGGGAATTCCTGGAGCGGGACCCCTCAGACCCGACGCTCTACAAGTACCTCGCGTGAAGGGGGCCAGGGCAGACACCCCTCCTGGCTATGCGTCCTGCTCGCCGCCTGGCCGGGGGCCCGGCATCCCTGGACGCGAGCCTGCACGCCCGCCGCGCCCGGGATGGGTCGGTGGCGGCAACCAAGAATGCAGCCGCCGCGCTGGCTTGGGAGAGCGGAGGGTGGTGGTGGGCCGCGCGCGTGTACAGCCGCGCAACTGGGGGCCCGGTGGGGGCGGCGGCACGAGGGCAACAGCCCCTGCGCGGCAGCAGGCAACAGGGACGGCGGTGCGCGTCTATGCGCCCGCACCCGGCCCGCATCCCCATTGTATCGCGCAATATCGTCTCTTGTTCTTAGTTGTTGATAGGATTTGGTTCCATGAACCCAATTGGTTCCGCAAGGGCGCTGCGTGCGCCGCACAGACCTGCAGGTGGAGGCAAGCCGCTTTGGCGTCGCCGCAAATGTACCAAAGGTAGCTAGCCACGGCAGCTGACATGTGGCATGCCGCGTTCAAAGCAACGGCGGGGCGCCCCGTTTTGAGCACTGGCATGCGCGACGCCTGCCGGCCTTGAGGGCCTGCCGGCGCACTTGCCAGTGAATGGGCTGTATACAATTGTTTATACGCGCTCAAGTAACATTTGGCCCTGATGATTTTTGGCCCGCTCCATTGACCGTCTTGGCAATCCACCACCGCCGTCGGGTCGGTGCAAAATGTGAACTGGCAAGGACGACCCTCCCCCCTCTTGATCCAACCTCCTGTCTTCCGGAGGTCGTCTGTACCTGGCCTGTACAGGTTTTCGTCCTCTGAATCCACTGCAGTGGCTGAGGTGATTCGTGAACGGGGGGCGTGGACGTCGCACATGAAAATTGCCATGCAGCAGCTGCTTGATGACTGAATGGCAGCCGCACGTCCTGTGCCATCTGTGATCTTGCGGTCCACGAGCATTGCAATCGTCCAAGTCATGAGCTTCGACGATGGCAAAGGCAGTCATGCAAGCTCGCGAATCCACCTCAAACCCAGCGTCAACAACGCCTCAGACATCACCTCAGAATAGCCTATGATCGTCACGATGGCGTTGAAACGAATATATATTTGATGACAGAGACGCAGGCCGGGGCAGAGGCGCCTCCCGCGCCCGCATCGTGGGCTTTTAGGCCTGATGTAAGCCGATCACGGCAGCAGGGCGATGGCCCGCATCATCAGCAAGAATCTCCGGCACGGCGTGTCTTTGATAAGCTTGCGGACGAGCCGCTGCCGCTCGGTTCGCCCATTCGCGGCGTGTGCGGCAGCCCGCTCCGCGCATCCTGCCCCAGCATCGGCACTGCAGCCAGGGCGGCTTCCGTTGCGGCCGCTGCAGCACTCACAGCGGCCCCGGGACCCAGGCGGGCAGCCAGCAGCATCGGCTCAGCACCAGGCACTCCAGGCAGCTGGCAGCCTCAGGATGATGGGGGGCGAAGCCCCGGACTTGCGGCAGATTGCACCAGCCCGTCTCGAAGGGCCGGCGGCGAGCCACGTGCGTTGCCGCAAGCAGACCCAGCAGAGGCCGGACGGGGGCGCAGCACCGGCCCTGCGGGCCCTCTGGAGGTGCTGTTGGCGCCGCTGCTGCCAGGGGCCGACGACGCAAAGGTGTTGGAGCGCGTGTCGCAGCTGAGGGCGGCGCTGGAGGAGCAGCTGGCAGCCGCGTCCCTATCCGAGCGACAGGTGCGCGCCTCCGGGGTTCAGTCATGGGGCTGGCGAATGTTTGTCCACAAGCGCTACAGTACCTGCCGTTTTCGGCTGCACATCCTTGAGTCTGACGTCTGTCACTGCTCCTTCTCGGCGTGCCCGCGGCGCAACAGGCCCGCGACCTCGCCGCGGCGCTGGCCAACTCGCAGCGCGAGTCCGCCACGCTGCGGGGCCGCTGCCTCGAGCTGCAGCACAACGTCTCACTCCTGGGCGGCGACCTGCGCGGCCGCCTGAGCCTGGCCCAGGGCGCGGTGCTGGCGGAGATGCAGCAGCAGCTCTTGGCGCGGGACGAGGCAATAGCTGCCAGCCAAGCTCAGCTGCAGGCGTTTGGTTTAGACCTGGAGCGCCTGTCAGGCGCGCTGGCGTCCAAGCTCTCCGCCGAGCGGCGCGAGAGAGAGCGGCTGGGGGCCGAGGCGGCGCAGGCGCGGCTGCTGTGCGCGGCGCGGGGGCGGCAGGCGGCGCTGCTGCAGGAGAGGGTTGAGGCGCTGGAGGCCCAGGTGGAGCAGGCGCAAGGTGGGCGGACGGGTTCCTGCAACGGGTGGGAAATGACATGTTTGTCCCGACAATATCAAGCTGCTCATTCCTAAGTGATCCTGGTGATGCTACCCTTAGACTTGGATAATCTGCGTCAGCTTGGGTGGACGACTCTTGATGAGTTGCCGATACATCGCGCTGTTCACATACCGCAGGCCAGCAGCGCGCGACCGGGCAAGAGGCCCTCGCCGCGGCCTCCTCGCTGCAGCAACAGCTCGACGCCGCGCGCGACGACGCGGCGGGGGCGCGGCAGCTGCTGTTTGAGGCGCGGGCGGCGCGGGACGAGCGGCAGCAGCAGGTTGAGGGCTTGCTGCAGGAGCTGTCGGACACGCGGCTGCAGGTGGAGTGGATGGAGGGCAAAGTTTTCGACCTGGAGGGCGGCAACAGCAGTGCCAACCCACAGGTGCGCGTACAGCAGCCGCTCGAGCCCCCGTAGTGCTGCCTGTTTGCACATGAGAGATCTTTGAGGCGCTGTCGTGCTGATGGTTAGATCGCTACGGCAGGGCTGGGGCGGCGCCGTGAGTCGCCTCGGGCGAACGCCGCGGTGACCCGCTTCAACCTCGACCCCGAACACGGCAGGGCCCGAGCCCCGAGTTGCGGCAGCTGCAGGAGGCGTCGGAGGCGCAGCGCGCCGCGCTGCAGAGCCAGTTGGAGCGCGTGCAGGCGCAGGCCGCCCAGCTCAAGCAGCAGCAGGCGGACCTTCTGTCGGACAACGCCGCCCTGCAGGAGGCGCTGCAGCAGCAGCAGCAGCAGGCGCTGTCGGCGCGGGAGCACCAGCTGGGGTGTGGGGTTGAGGCCGATGCAGGGAGCGCGGTCTCGACGCCTTTCAGCGAGGACGACTGCGCCGTCAGGGAGTGCCACGCCCTCAGGGCCGAGCTCGGCATCGCGCAGGCGGAGGCGGCGCAGCTGCGCCGCCAGCTGGAGGCGGCGGCGGCGGCGAGCGGCGCGCAGATGCAGGCGGCTCAGCGCGAGATTTGGCGGCTGCAGGCGGGGGCGGACGGCCCGGCGCCACGCGAGGCGGAAGAAGGCGCCGAGCAGCTTGGAGTGTGCGCAGCGGAGGGCACGGAGACCTGCCATTTACCAGGCAGCCATGACACGGGCCCTGAGGGCTTGGCCGACGGCGATTGCGCGCATGAGGCAGGCGAGCGGTGGGCCTGCGTCCTGGACAACCCCACATTCGCCTCCGACCCCAGCGCCATGCCGCGCGCCGGCGACGGCGGCGCACCGGGAGCGGCCGCCCTGCGCGCCGGCTGCGGCGGCGGGCCGTGCGTGGCGCGCGTGCAGGAGCTGGAGGAGACCGTCGCCGCCCTTCGGCGGCAGCTGCGGCAGCAGGAGCGCGCGGCCGCCGCGCTTCAGAAGCGGCGCGGCGCGCCGTTCGTGCACGACAGCGCCGCCAGCCGCTCGGCGTGGGCGGACGCACTCGGGCTGGGCCACGCTGACGAGGACGCGCAGCTGCTGCCCCAGCTGCAGCTGGTGCACGAGCGGTCCGCACTGCGGCCGATCCAGGGCGCCGCCGGCGACACCCAACGGCTGCTGCGGGGCGGCAAGGCGGGCGCGGCGGGCGCGGCCCAAGCGGACGCCTCGACGCAAACCGAGCGCGAGGCGGGCACACGGGGCAAGGAAGAAGCGGGTGGCGCCGTGAGAACAGCCGGCGCCGCGGCTGCAGAGGGCCGGGGCGCGGCGCTGCTGGCTGCGGCGCGGCGCGAGATCAAGCGGCTGCGGGATGTGAATGAGCAGCTGCTGGAGACGCATGCCGAAGGTGGGCACGAAAGACGACGGGCAGAGGGGGTAACTGGGGTGCCAAGCATGCTGCCGCCGCCGCCGCTGCTGCTGCTGCTGCTGCTGCTGCTGCTGCTGCTGCTGCTGCTGCTGCTGCTGCTGCTGCTGCTGCTGCTGCTGCTGCTGCTGCTGCTGCTGCTGCTGCTGGGAATTTTGCTGTTCACAGCACCTGACTCCATGGTGCGCTATGGCTGCTTCGGCAACCAAGTCACTCCACTGAGTCATAAAACTGAGCTGGATCCTGGTGCTGCGCCCTGTTTCCACGCAGACATGCAGGGCTCTGTCTCTCTGGACGACGCACGCCAGGCAGTCCGCGAGGCCAAGGCCGCCGCCAAGCGCAGCGCTGCCGACGCCGCCGCCCGGGCCGCCGCCGGCTGGCAGGAGCGCGCCGCGGCCCTCACGCGCGAGCGCGACGACGCGCGCGTGGCGGCCGCCGCAGCTGCGGTGCAGCTCGAGGCGCTGCAGCGGCGCGTCTCCGAGACGGGCGCGCGGGCCGAGGCGGCGGAGGGGCGGGAGGCGCAGGCGGCAGCAGAGGTGCGGGAGCTTGAGGGGCGCTGCGAGGCGTTGGTCTCGCAGCAGCGGGCCCTGGCTGCCAGCCACCAGCAGGAAGTCGAACAGGCGTGCCTGGACGTGGAGACGGACGCGGCGGCGGCCATCATGGAGCTGCGCAGCAGGCTGGGGGAGCTAGAGGCCGGGCGCGGCGCGCTGCGGCGCGAGCGGGACGCGGCGCTCGCAGCGGCCGCCGCAGCTGAGGCCAGGGCGGCGTCGGCGGGGGAGGAGGCGGGGGCCTCGGGTCGGGCAGCGGGGGCGAGTGGCTGTGCGTCTGTTGGTATTCAGACGCAGGCGTCCTGGGGCGAGCTGGAGCCAGAGCCGCTGGATGACCCCCAGCCGCCTGAGGCAGCTGGTGATGACGAGGCATGGGCGCCGACCGACTCACCAAACGGGCAGCAGCAGCAGCGGCAGCGGTACGAGGAGGGCCCGACGCCCGCCGTGCCGCACGCGGTGCACGCGGCCGACGCGCCGCCGACGGCAAGCAGCAGCCGCGCGCGCGACCAGTCGCCCCTCAAGCCCGCAGCCTCCGCGCAGTGGGAGGCGCGCGGGGACGCCGCAGACACCGCCGCGGGCAGCCGCGACGCGGGCGTGCGGTGGCGGGTGGGGGAGGGGGTGCAGGCGTTCCCTGGGACCGCCGTTGCACAGAGCAGCGGGGCGGCGGCTGTCTACGATTGGCTCGCGTCATCGTGCCACAACCGCGCGCCCTCACATGTCGCGGACGGCGGCGCCAGGAACGCTCCTGCCACCACAGGCGCAGGGCTCTGGGCGACTGCCGCGGCGGCTGGGGACGGCGCGGGCGCATCGGCGGCAGCGGCGGCGGACGACTGCGGGTGGGACGAGCGGGGCGGCGGCGCGGCGGGCGACGCCGATGATGAGATGTGCCGCGTGTCCTCGGCTGCAGACACCCCCAGCAGCAGCGACAGGGGCAGGTCCACCATGGGCGGCAGCCGCACAGGCACCGCGCGCACGGCGGCGAGCGGCCGCGGCTCTGCAGCGCCTGCGGCCGCGGCGGTCGGGGGCCCC